AGGTAAAACACTTTCCCTAAGTCTGCAGGTTCTAGCTTGCCTCCAAATCCACTTACCAAAGTGGCCTATTTTGGGGCGGCACATCCTGCTCCGCTTCACTCTTGTGCTGAAATAGCATCAGTGATTCTATTTTTAGACAACCAATCTGTTTCCCATTCTTTCCCTATTAACTGTATACCAGAATGGCATTTCAAAGTTTAGAAAGAAAAAAGGTTGGCTATATTGTAGAGTTTTGTTTTTCTTTTATTGTTGTGAATTTGGTTGAGGAAAAAGGTAGTTTATGTTCTAGAGGGTGTTTTCTCTCTCTTTCATTGTTGCAAATTATTCATTCTTGCATTCAATGACTAGTTACTAAGAATCAACTGTGTGACAGCACTTTGCCCCCTAGGGACACAACTCTGAGGAAGAGAGACAAGATCTGTGTTATTACTGAGTTTTTGCTGGTGAGGAATCAGATATTCATAAATGAATACTAGGATCTGGAGTTATGAGAGAATATCAGGAAACCTGGGGATCAGAAATGGTTTCTTTGAGAAATGATTTCTTTTAGCACAAGGCAAAATCTAAAAACAATGTAAATGAATGACAGGTTGAATGTAAAGATTAGAAACAAGAAATAAGACCATATGAAAAGGTCTAGAGGTAGCTCAGGATTTTGCATACGATGATTAAGGAAAAAGACAAACATCTGTCTGGAATGCTGAGAGCAAGTAAGAACATGGAAATAGATGAGACTGGAGAGGAAGGAGAAGGCTACTATCATTTAGGAACTTGTAGGCCATATGTTTTGGTTTTCATCTTAAAGTCATATGCAAATGGTATAGACCATAAAAATACTTTTTACCCTAAAAGCAATGACAAAATATTAAAAGGTAAGCATGTTTTTATTTGTAAAAATTACTGTGGTTAAATACAGAAGATTAAACTAAGGAGTATGACAAGACTGCCTTTTGGAAGAACAGTTAAGGAAAAACATTTGATTAGGTAAGAAATTGTATTAGAATGGTGACATCAGAGATTGAGAGGAGAAGGTGGATATGAGTTTGTTTATTTTCTGTAGGAATTAAATTCAGGATTTATTGATAACTTCAGCATAGGAAAGTGAGGGAGATGGGCAGGCTCAAAGGTTACCCAGGTTTCTGAATTATGAAAATGGTGCAAAACTGTGCCATTCACTTAACTAAAACACACTGGAAGAGGCCAGGTGTGGGCTGGGAGTAGCACCTGAATTTCTATTTGTGATGTTAAAGGCATCTTTCAAATTGCTAGTGCCTGTGTTGTCTGGGCAGGAAATATGATATGCAAGTCATTCACATATAAATGCTAATTGTCATGTCAATGTAGGGGACAAAGTGAATAGTTTTGAAATTTTATTGAAAACACATTGGCCTTAAAAGGAAATTCTGAATATAGGCTAACATAAGAAGGTCTTCCTGGCTGTTCTTTCTTCCAGATAAGGAATGAACATCTCTGAACAATTCCAGATTGTTGCATTTGTGTGACGTGTCTGCCACACACTCGTAAGCTTTAGTCTGCCGGAAGGACAATGTATCGTAGGTTCAGTGCCTCTGAAACCAGACATTATTTATCTTTCCAATCTTCTTGTTGGTTTTAACTTTGACCTGTTGCACGAGGTTATTTTTAAAATGTATGGCTTGTTTTTAGCTTGATAACAAATTTTAAAAAATTAGTTACACTGAGCATTCAAGTATTTGTATTCATATCTTGTGGTTTAAAACAAATTGCATGTGGGAATCAGGTAGGGACCTGAGCAGTTAGAAATTTGAGTCATGAAAAACAATGAATTTGTGATTGAACCAAAACAGTCAAGGGTGAAATTAAATAGATTAAGGAAGTCAATTTCCAAGGTACAGGTATCATCAGCTAACCTGTGTTTTCTGTGGCAGATTATCCATAGACCATAGACAACAGGATCACCAGGCCCCCAAATTGCTTTTTAGTCTTCACTTTGACCTTCATTTGGATATTTTGCATACTTAATAGTCCCTGGCTATTCCATCCATAATTACTTTTTTCAAAATAATTCTGAATATACTAGCTATTAAACATTTTTGTGCATTTCAAAACTAATTAATTATACTTTCATGAATGCATCATTTCAAAATAAACACTGGGTGTTATGAACAATGTTATTAATAGGTTATTTTTATGCATCTGACTAATCTCTCTTCATTAATGTTGTGAATCTTTAAAGAATTAATTATATTTGGTTTGATCCAGAATAGGTAAAGTATTTTTTGGACATGAAAACATTTTATTGGGGTATCTGGAACCTGCTGGATCAAGAAAGCTTAATGGAAGTCATCTAGAAGGGCCTGACTGGGAGACAATGTAGCTGAGCTTTTATTCCTGGACTGTTTCTGCTGGGGAATGAAGAATGAGAACAGACTTCTGAGCAGCTCTCATGGGTGGTGTTTACAGGAGCTTGTAGCTGGGCAGACTGTAGCTGAGGGGAAGTTCAGCAAACCTTCAGGACTAACTCTTGCCAGGTTCTGAGGTTATTGAGGTGAATGTGACACGTACTTAGTCTGAAGGAGTTGTGAGAAAGATACAATATTTTCCAGTGGAGTGCTCTTTGTACTGCAGGGATACAAAGAAGAGACATTTAGTCTACTAGGGGTGCCCATCCTGTGTCCTGATGGCTCTGAATGCAGCCTAACACAAAATGGTAAATTTACTTATAACATTATAAGAACTGTCATGATTACATGCTGCAATGTATTTAATGTGTAGCTCAGAACAACTCTTCTTCTTCCAGGCTGGCCCAGAGATGCCAAAAGTTGGATACTCCTGGACCATAGACTAAGAGCTTTTTCCGAAAGAAGTGATTCCTTGTCAGATTTTTGAAAGAGAAATAGAAATCAGCCAGGGAAATCAGAAAAGGAAGTTTCAGTAAATGGCACTGCAAACATAAACTTGGTTTGTGATGGCTGGAGGATAAACTATGGAGTGCAAAGGGTAAGGGAGTTAGACAGGGTTGAGCTATGGGGAGTTGAACTTGGATTAGCTATATAAAGAAAGTCTGTCCATAAATTTAATAGTAACCAACTGGAAAACGTTTTAAGTATTTGTCTCCAACTCTCTCCTTTTCTTCTCCTTTACCCTACTTGCTCCAAAAAGTCATTGATTATATATTTGTACCTCTACCAATATTCATACACAAATATACAATTTCTGTTTACTATCTTAAATGATGATGCTCTCAACCAAGGCAGTAGCCAGAATAGTCCTAAAGAGTTACTTCTCTCTGAAATACAAATGGAAGATATGTTTGGTAATTTAAGAATTTCTTCTAGTAAGAACTGTTTAGAATTTATTTACTCTTTTCTCACAAATCATCTCTGCTTCCTGGTTATCCTATTTCCACTCCCATATGTATTTTTCCCTTTTAATCTAATCACATGTGCTGTTAGTGAATTTCTTAAAGAAATGATTCCACATGTGCCATATTGTATTAAACCTGTATTGTTGCTTTTGTCTTGTTCTAATCTTCCCCCTGAGATCCTTAAAAAAAAGGAGCTGTTGATTTTGATTCCCATCTTTAGTACGCGGTAGTTGCAATGATAACTCATGAACAGTTTGACTCAATGAATAATCATTGAGTGCAAAATAGAGTAAGAAACTAGGTAAATAAAATATTATAAAGACATGGAAGGAAAGATAAATTCTGGTTGGGTTTTCGGTGAGTTTTCATGGTAGAGGTGAAATCTATTTTCATCAACAGAAAGAGATATTTGCCAGGAAGGAGTAGAGGCAGAAATTAATCTAGGTAACAAAACTTTCCAAAAAACACAAGGTACATTCCAGCATGAGTAAGGGGTCTAATGAGACAGAAGGCCATAGTGCTTAATTCTAGAGGATGTGGAGACCATAGCATCCTTTGAAATGTTATCCCAAACCATTTAGTTCAGAAAATCTTTAAATGATGAAATATACTTGCTTTTGTGCCAATAAGTACCATTATTTTACCTTGGATTTGAGTACCTGAAAATATTTTTTATGGAACAAAAAATGGATGAAATATGAAAACAAAGATTATGAGAGATAGGTGAGGAAACTATTGAAAGAGTGACATGTAGTGACATGTAGTGAGCAGTAGTGCTATACTGGGAGGGGCATAAGGGAGAGGAGGGAGTGTTACGAGTACCACATATTTTAGATCCTAAAATGCAGTGGCTTGGCTTGAATGTTGACAAGGATGAAAGATTATAGACCTCTGTGGTTTTAAGCTTCATTTGAGAGGGCACATACCTTGCAATACAGAATAGTCCTTGTCAAAGTCTTTATTATTCATGGCCATGTGCATAATAAATAGAATTTTCATAAATAAATAAATAATAAACCTTGGAATCATCTCCCAATTAACACACATGCTGGGGTAGCTTTAGGCCAATTTGATTTATGCTGCTGTCACAGGAGTGCCCCAAGTACATTTACCTGCAGAAGATACCCCTATCAGATCACCAGTACCTCCTAGGAGATTGCTGCATGTCTCAGAAGTGAACATTTGACATCTTGCAAGCAAGCCTTCACATTTTAATTATCATGAATATCATAGCTTATGATATGATTTATATGTTTATTATCATGAGATCCTTGGCAGGAAATTAGTATTGTTTGAAGTAATGGATTAGCCTTCAGTACTGATTGGCAGGCACTATTTTTAAGGTCTGTTCAACATAGAATAATAGACTATTCCTAAGTAATTTGTATTTACTTATTTGAAGAAACATATACATGTGTTTTATATTATTTCCAAGGGGCATATGTTTTCAAGTCAATGTGTTAATATTATAATTTCAAATTTGTTATAAGGATTTGACATATTTTTCTCAAATTATTTGGTGATATATCTGCTATTATATGATGCTATTTATATCTGTAAATCCTCGCTAAATATATACATATATTCTTTCTTCCTTTCCCTCTTCCATTTTTCTGATCTGCTTCCATTGACGACTCTATACTTTTGACTCCAGACTGGCAATATGAGGGTAAGATGAAAAAAATAAAAATTCCAAACAACCTCATGAGCATTGCTTGTCTGTCTTTGTTTTATTCTCTTTAGAACATTGTTAACATTTTATTAACTCTTTTTAATTAGACTCTTGATCACAATTAAAGTCCAATTATGTTTGTTTCTGTTGTGAAGCTTTAATTACAACTTATCCTTGTTAATCATTTCTTTATGTTATTTCTTTGGGTTAAATTACCATCCCATTATCTCTGTCCTGGAGGACTTTTGCTCTCCCGTGGTCTATGCTGGTGTTTTCTCAGTAATATTTGAATAGTATTATGGTATACAAAGTGACTGTGTTATGATATGGTAAGCAATCTCTGTGTCTCATGAATTTTTTTAATAAAAAGTTGTTAAAAGTAATGATGCATAATTTGATTGTAGGATTTTTCATTTTAAGTGTCAATATACACCTCAATTAATTTGGTCTCAGAGTGAGTGCTCCTGTAGATGTGACTTCTTACCATCGGTTATTTTCTCTCTTTAGATTGCAAACTAGCTAGGGGAGGACCGCCAGCTACCATAGTTGCTATTGATGAAGAGAGTCGGAATGGTGAGTGAGTTTTATGTTTTACAAGTGTCTTATCTAAGAGGGATTTCTTCTAATTTCAATGCTCTTATTTGTTATGTGTGGAAGTACTAAATAAAAGCTTCAACCCAAATTCACAAACAGCTACCCTTGATTTCTCCCTGGGAAGAATTTAAATACTGCCATTTCTGAGTAATGCTTTACTTGGAGTATATTATGAAAAACTCTAGATAGTGGCTTAGTTTTCATTGTGAAGAAGTCATTTGATTCAGTTCAGTCAAGAAATGCATCCAAATACTGGCTGCAGTTTTTCTTTGTCACAAGGTAGAGTTGACTGTAATGCATAAAATCACCTAGTCATCTAACTGAAATATATTATATTCATCCAAAGAAGTGAACTACAAGGTAAGCCTTATATTGCTAACTTAAATTGGCTAGAATCTGTTAAGGATCAGGATCCGTAGTTTATTAGACACAGCAATTAAGAAATGGTTAAAGGGAAAACTGAAAGTTCATGGGAACAAAGACTGACAGAAAGTGTAGAGCACATCAAAAAGTATGAATTTTCACATGAATTGTTTGCCATTATTGATAACTAATACTGAATTCATATTAAGGTTGTTAAAAGGATAATTGTCCTCAACAAAACAAAAATAGATGTAATTAGAACTTTTTTCATAATACTCTTTTAGCATCCCTAAACTTTAATGTACAAATATTTAAAGATTATCCTGTACTAGGTAGTCATGAAATAGTAATTTCTCTGGACTTCTGGTTTCTAGTTCAAACCATTCTAATTACGGGAATGTTCTCTGTGGCTTATTTTGTCTACTAATTCTATAATGGACCTTTCATTCCTCTTGTTTGATTTGTAATTTCTATCTATTCTAAGCATTGTGTTTTTGCAAATTTACACATTTTTAAAATGAATTATCAAATTTATAAGAGCATGGTTTTTCATAGAATTCAACCTACATGTATTTTGAAAACTTCCCTAAGGTACATAATACCTGTATTGTTCACTTTATTATGGATTTATTATTTAGCTTTAAAAACATTCCTTTACTCCTTTGAAGAATTGGCATAAACTTTTTTCCACATCCTTTAGAATAGGTCAAAAATGTCTATAGCTTTGCTGACCTCTGTTTAAAAAAAATAAATATTATACTGAAATCTAGCAACACTTTAAAAATCACAAAAAATTGAGTTTTTCAGTTTTAAAATGTCACTATTAAGCATATATTGAGCAAATTGGAAATAAGCTCTTTATGTGCCTTCAGAAAAGGAAACATATATAAAATACTATACCAGAAAAAAACTTTCTGCCTCACATGCACAATTATGGTTTATTTATGGTTGACTATTTTTCTGTGAACAAATCTGTATTTTCTAAATGTTCTACAATAAAAACAGTTTGATTTTTAAACCAGAGATTTTTTTAAAAGAGAGAAGACCAAACTATATTTTATTTTTACTTTTTTACTGTTCACCAACTCCCTTGAACATATAAGCTGAACTGAGCTAAAGCATTTAATTTAAATATATAATTTTGTTTTAATGTGTAATTCTATACAGAACTTATTCTACCAGCCTGGTAACTATAGCCCTGAATACAATGATATTATATCTCCGGTTATGTTGAATAGATCCCACTTTTCACAGGACATCAGGAACTCTACAAGGATGTTGCCTGTATAGTGGCATATTGTGAAAGCTCAATATTTTAGTTTTAGAAGAATGTGACATGATACAGTACAGTAACTTGCCCTTTAATTGCGTATTTTGAAGAAATTGCTAACTACTCAGAATGCTGCCAAAGTTATCTGAGTGTATCACAAAAAGTATAAATGACCAATTCAGAGACTAACTGGCTTACATTTTCTTTTACATTAAATTTCTGATATAGGGCAATCAAATGGACCTTTGCCAGATATTATAATGTAGTATGTAATCATCTTTATCTTAAAAGTCCAAAGGAAACAATACATGAAAATGTCATTATATAACTTTTTAGGCAATCTAAGAAACTTCCTAATAAGACTATCAATCTAGTCCTGCTCTTAAACTCTCTTTATTTCCTTTTTTTCTGCATTTTAAATGGCAGTAACAAAGCACATGGGTTTCTTAGTCTACCAGTATAATAAACACTCATTTGTAAAGGTTCCAGGGCTTCTTAAAAGTATGTCATAGCAAATAATTTTTTAAGTTTAACTAGTAAGCTTATTGGGTGTCAACTTTCCTTTGTCTTGCCCTATGGGTTTTTACTCCTAAACAGTTGTATTAGTAAATATATCCTCTACTAAAGTATAGCCTTTAAATAATTCATTTTTTAAAAAATATACTTAATTTTCTCATAGAAATCATTGAGGTACATTTATAGATTGTCCATGACTTGTAACACGCATATGCATATTTTAACATTTTTATACCCTTTTGGATGGAAATGATCTCTCTTTTTGTGAATATGTATGCTAAATGCACTTGCACATATGTAAATGTTTGAAACAGTTAAAAAATTAAGTGGTGGAGTTTCATAAACTTCATCATCCTGGGTCCTATTAGACTTTTCCCCTCATTGGTCATTTTCCTCAGCAACATATTGATAACAGATTCATTATAGCATCCTTGGTCTCAACTAAGAATTCATTTTCTTTTTTTAAAATTATACTCTTATCTATTATGGTATTACAGCTGTCCCAATTTTTCTACCTTTGCCCCCCTCCACCCAGCACCCTCACTTCATCAGGCACACTCCAACATTTTTCATGTCCATGGGTCATGCCTATAAGTTCTTTGGCCTTCTGTGAAGGATCAACTGTGCAGGGGCAGGGTGGAGGTCTCTGATGCGGCCTGTAGCTGGCCCTGGGGTTTCCCATGTGGTGCAGGCAAAGGTCAGCTCCAACCTGTGTTTTGCTGGGGGCACCTTGTTTGATCTATAAAGCAATCTGAGATGGGTGCTACTTGTGCTGGGCTTGGAGATTCCTCAGCAAAGCCAGGCTGTGAATCTAGGCTGGCTGTTGCTAGTGCAGGGCCTGGGTCTTGCTGAGGCCAGCTGTTTCTTGTTTGAGAGGATTTAGGAAGTTTTGAAGCCTGAGCCAAGACTAGCCATTCATATGGAAAAGAAGTTTGGGTGGGCTTCTAAATTGGGTGGGGTGGAATCTCTGAGGATCTCTAAGGTGTGTCAAAAAGTATTAGACAGGTTGATAGAGTCTCAGATACAGCACCAGCTTGTGGGTTCTGTGGGAGGAGGGCTTGGAAAAGAGACGATGGCCTCTGCTTGCCTTGGTGCCAGGCATTTCAGTTTCTCCCTGTATGCCACTGGGGACTTTTAAGCTGCTCCCAGGTGTTGGAGCTCAGAGGGAATAAGTCTGAGTAGGTATGTCTGTCCTGGGTGAGTTCTTTAAGAGGAACTGCTTGGGGCTCCAGCAATTTCCTCCACCGATTCAATCCCCACTGATTTTTGCAGCCCAAAGTTGTGGGGATTTATCTCCCTGGCACTGCAATCTTGGGATGGGTGGCCTGGTGTGGGGCTGGGACTCCTTGATCCCAAGATATCCCTTCCAAATTTTTATCCACCATACATGAGTGAGGGACCAGCTCATTCTGCATCTGTGCCCCTCCTACCAATTTGGATGGATATAGTTTCTTTCATTCCATAGCTTTCAGACTTCTATTCAACTTGATTTCTGATGGTTCTGAGTGATAGTTGTTCTATATTTTGGTTGTAATTTTGATGTGGTTGTATGGAGAGGCAAGCCATGTCTTAAGTTCATTTTCAATGCAACTACCAGAGAATGCAAGTTTATGTTGTAAGGACACAAATTCAACAAATAAAAAGACACGCGTTGGTTCCTGACAACTATCAGAAAGCGCATGGGCTAGTATGTAGAACATGTTTAGTGCATAATTACATTTAGAAGGGAGAATATATATAGAGAGAAACAGACTTACAACATATCATCTCATTCAATAAAATGGCAATTTCTAAAAATTCTTTCTGGAAAATGTACATATATCCAAATCCTGCATATGGATGAATATGGCAAGTTTATTCACAATTGTTAAAAACTGGAAGTAAGAAGGATGTCTTTCAGCAAGTGAATGTATCAAAAAAATGTTGTACATCCAGACAAATTCAGTGCTTAAAAAAAAGCTATCAACCAATGAAAAGACTTGGAAGAAATTTAAATATCTAGTTACCAAGTTAAAGAAGTCAATCTGAAAAGGCTACACACTACTACATGCTGTATAATCCCAGTATATGAATCTTTGGTAAAAGAAAATGATGGATAAAATAAAAAAGATCAGTATTGCTAGGGGTGGGCAAGAAAAAGATGAGTAGACAGAGCCCAGAGGATTTCTAGAGTAGAGAAAATATTCTATATTCAAATGATGGCTATGTCATCGTACACATGTAAAACCTATAGCATGTATAACACCAAGAGTGAAATCTAAGGTAAACTGCAGACTCTGGATGGTTATGATATGTCAGGGTAGGGTCTACCTGCATTGTCAGCCCAAATGTAGCATTTCAGTGAGTGGTGTTGATAACAGGGAAGGCTATCCTGTGTGGAGGCAAGGGTATATGGGAAGTCTTGGTATCTTCACTTCATTTTTAGTGAACCTAAAACTTCTCTAAACATGAAGTTTTAAAATAATCTTTCTGGAAATATATGTTCTAGTTTCATGGGACTCTGAGCTGCTTATGGTATTGAGTCCTTACTGGAAGGAGCGAGGCCGGGAGCAGTTACACAGGAACTATTTACAGCCTGCTCTGAGTGCCTGCCAAATCAGAGTCCTGGCTGCTTTACAACCACTATGGACTGGCATTCAAACAAGCTTGGGAACAAGTGGTTCAGACTAATTCTCAGAAATTGGATAAATACACAGGCAGTGTTGAGTCAAGGGGATCAGATATTGTTTTAAGTTATGGCTTGAACACAACACTATGATTATACAGAATTGGACAGGTTCAGAGGCAAAAGGATATCACTATGTGAGAGATTCGGAGGTCCATTCTAAAT